GTTACTTCCTAATACGCCCAAAACCCTTTAAATTGTAGACCATATTATGAACTTTTTTTCAGAATATATTATAAAGAAATTTGTGTTTAATCAAAAACATACGCAAACTCACAAGGGTATTTGTGTTTAATCAAAACATCAACTTAAAATACAACTTTCTCTCTCACTTCTTAGGGCTTCCACCGGTTTGATTTCGTTCAATTTGCGAGAATAAAAAGATTGAACTAATGAAAACCAACTGTATTGGCTTGTTTTAGTTTTGCAAATTCTTTTTTTCTTTCACAAGATCATACTGGTTTGGTTTGATTCATGGGTTTGATTTCTTAAAACATTTAAAATCAAATGATTAAACTATAGATAATCAAGTAACATTGATTACATTAAGTTTTTTACTTGAACATATAAACTAAAGAAAACCAACTTAATTGATTCGGCTTGTTGTGGTATTTTCACCAATTTAACACCCCTATTCTCTGCTGCTGTTATTTTAATAACAGAATAAGCAAGCTTAGGCCATCTTATGCAAGATTTAAAGTGTATACAAGGACATAATAATAGTACCTGCCACCATATTGAAACTATATCAATCAAGGCAATCACTTCCAAAGCAAAAGTGTTTAGAACTGCCCATATAACAGTAAGGCCAATGTACATACATAAGAAGAGCCATTTTGGGGCAAAGTACCCTCCACCTTTGTTTGTGCCTGTTGAGAGTAGGATTATGCTCTGCAAAGTTTGTGATCCTGCATATGCCTTTTCCAACCATTATGAGTTACAATATAACATTATCTGAAAATATTGACCAGAAATTTCACCAAATTACCTGAGTCCCTATCCCAGCTATAAGGCCTATGGTCTCAAGCCAAGCACAGCACCATGAAGAAAATGGTCCCCATTTTGGACCAGCTAAATGAGCAGCCCAAAAGTACAGAGAACCAGTTGTCTGTTAGATTCAATAAGAAGTGAGTTAGTTTTCTAAATTCATTCACATGCTCATCTTTGTGTGCAGAAGGAATCAACGAGTACTTTTTTCTTCTTCCATAGCTAATCCTATTTGAAACATTGTCGAATACTAAATATTGGGTATTTTAAAATTCTAAGCCTTGAAGAACTGCCACTACAAAGAAATAAACTTTTTGAGAAGAAACAAACCGGGAACGATGAGCATATCTCAGCCATTGCAATCCCAACGAACCAAGTGAAGAAAGAAACCACTATCCATCCCCATACAAGAGTTGCAGGGCCAGCATATTGAAGACTAGAACCATAGAGAGGTGTAATTCCAGTGAAAAGGGTCATTGTGGAAAATGATATGGCCAGCGTTTTGAACATAGTCTGCACCATAAAAGGAAAAGCTAAACAGATTTAATCAAAAGTTAAGCTATTTCATTTTCTTAAAGCTGGGATCATGATGAACTCCATCAAACACAAGATGGCAAAAAAAAAAAAAAACTTAAATAGAACAGAATACACACACCATTTCTCTTCTCAGTTCTTGCTTGTAGCCAAGCTCATTGAGCCTTTTCTCTGCTGAATCCATAGTTCTGTCTCCTGGAACTTGGGCAAAATTTCTTTCACTACAGACTTCTATTGAGGAGTTCAAAAATAAGTAATATGAAAAAGAAAAAGAAAAAAACCTAACAACAGAGTTCGGATAAATAACGATATTTGACCAATGTTTCAGTTGAAAGATTCAAACTTTGAAGTTGCAAAATTTGGATGGTCTATTGGGGCAAGTGACAACTACTACCGATATGCATCGTACTGCTGCCTTTTCCACTGAAGCGTGGTTGTTTTCTCTTATCCTATGAAAGAGAAAAACGATTAACAGTTGCTAGTATTTGTGTTGCTTTTACTTGTACCTTGAAAAGTCAGTGCATCAGTGTAATTCTTCTTATAATAGGCCAACGTAGTAATCGGTTCGTTTCAAATAGTCAAACAGTTGGGTATGATTTTGTCGAGTTGTGTATTATATTGTGCTACAACTATGAACTGGATTGATTTATGGCATCTAAGTTTGAAATACGTTTCTTGATTTGCATAGTTGGACTTTGTCTACGTTGACATTTTCAGAGGAAGTGGATGATAAAGAAAATTATACAGAAGGAATTTAATTATAAAAAAAACTGCTCAATTATAGAGGGGATCCTGAACATGTCCACACCTAATGTTCACATGGCCATGCACGGAATTTTAAAACAATGAAAGCAAAATAAATTTAGGTTCATAAAAGTAAAACTAAAATTTAATATAATTACTCATTCAAATAATAATAATATTAAATATTATTAATATTAATAATTCAAGAAAAAATTAATTAAAATATATAATGATTGAATAAGAATAACATTAGAAATATATATAATCATTGATTAAATAATAATAATAATAAAAATAGTAATATTAATTAAAGAATTTTTTTTGATACAATATAATTATTGATTAAATTAATAATAATAATAATAAAAAATTAATATTAAAAATTAAAGTAATAATTAAATAAATTAATTAAAATATAATATAACAATTGATTATAATTATAATAACAATATCAATAGTAATAATGACATTAATAATTGAAGAAAAATGTTAAAATAAAATTTGATTATTTAATAAAATTCTAATAATAATAATAATACGAGTTATATTAATAATTAAGGAAAAGAGAATGTGAATCCAATTTTGATTTTGCTTTCCAAAATCAAATATAATTACTGTGATTAAAACAATTTAACGGTAATTAACAAGTTATATTAATATTGAAAGTGACCGTAAATGAAAGTAATAAAGTGTAATAAATGTTTTCAATCTCCAATAAATACCCATTCCTAATAATTAAACGAATAATTTAAAATAAAATATATTTATTGATTTAAATAATGATTGTAAGACTCGGAAAATAATTTATTGGCTGTTCTTTCTTTTGGTCAGAAGACACAAGAAGAAGAATCCTAAGTTTTACCTTTTTTCTTTTTATTTTATTTTCGCGAACCCTGTGGGGAGAATGAGATAGCTTCGCAGCATGGATAAATTGATGTGAAGTTTAGGGTTCGGAGAGAGCCTTTAATACCTAATACTTGATGTGCGTAATGAGTGGGGGAAACAACTCTGAGAGAGCTGGAAATGGGAGGGAGTGATCAAACTTGAGAGTGAAAAAGGGAAGCGAGGCGGAATTGCGAGAACCAGAGAATGCCAAGGTGAGTAAAGGTCAATATAGGCTGGAAGGTTTTTGGTGTTAGGGTTTTCACCGTGAGAAGAGCTAGAACCAGGTACGAGGAACTGATTTGTTTTTATTTTTATTGAGATAATCTGATTTATTTGTGTTTATCTCTTTTGATTTTTAGTTAAGGAAAAGTAATGATTTCAACGTTATAACAATTTAATTATATAAGTTTAAGGGTTTTTAATTTTAATTGAGAATATATTTTGATTAAAGTTAAAAACTTTTATATGATTTATTTTGAATTTTTATGAATAACTTAAAATGTGTTTTGATTAGTAGTAAAAATTTAAATCAAAATTAATGAAGAATGTTTAGTTGAGAATTTATTTTTGATTAAATTTATTATGATTAATTACAAAGTTCTTTTTTTAAATTCAAAATATACTTTGGTTAAAAATGAGAACACCGACAAATTAATTGAGAATTTATATTGATTAATTTGAAATAATTAATTAAACAATAGTCTTTGAATAACCCAAATCCTATATTTTGGAAAATGAGTGAAATGAATTTATTTTCTTTATCATCGGTTTATATCTTTTTAAATCTCTTTATAAATTTCTTTCTTTCTATCTTTTGTTATTTCGTTCTTTAACATTTTCTTTATCTTTATCTTCTTTGTTATTTTACGAATTATTTTGTATAATTTTTATAAGAACTAATTTGTTAAGAATCTTGGTTGGGTAACGACTTAGAGTTGAATTTATCCTTTCTATTTTTTTGACTAGTATCTTAGCAATACTTAAGTTTTTATAGTTTATTAGTATTAATTTGATCACATCAACGACAACATTATAAAAAAACGTTTATGTTATGATAATCGATTATCAATGACAGTTGTGAACCTGACTCTTAGTTTTCTGACATAGTTTTCAAATGTAAGAATCTATAAATACTTAACTTAAACCTAACTTAAAAAAACTTTTTGTTCAGTATTAGAGTTGTGTGCTTAAGAGAATCTCAAATTGTTAACAATGTCTCTTATATAAATTTAAAAAAAATATGATTTTTACAAAAAAACTAGGAATCTCAAATGAAAAATTAAGACAACAACAATTCCAAACAAAAATTAATTTAAACATATAATTAAGAAATTTTAAAAAATAAATAATTCAACATATTAAGCATATAAAAATTATATTAACAATATATCAAAAAAGTAAATATTTCAAATAATAAAAAATCAAATAAATTTTTTAAAGCCATTCCATAAGAAGAACGTGTGGGAGCGCAAAAACTAAGAACCACAACAATGGGAAGGACTACAACAATAATGATGGTACCAAAAACGCTAATGTAAAACCAGGACTCTAATGGTGGCACCAAACAACGAAATAGCAAAAATATAACGAGGAAAAGGTGAAAAAACCTTAACAAGCAACGATGAAGGAGAATTGGAAAGCGTGAGTTTGTAGTGGCGAGGGAGAAGAATCACAACTTCTATGTAGCATGACCATTCGTGAATAAGTAAAAATTACACAAATTAACCATATTCATAAGGGTATAGACTATAGTTCTTTCTAAAGTCATGCCTATACTTTGATAATTAGAGTATAAACTACAATTTTATCTGAATTGTAACCTATATCTTTTTATAAAATTACAAAAGTGCATCTAATTTTTGTAAGTTACATTATTTTTTCTTCTTAAAATCATAGCCTATATGACATAGTTAAATGTGATATTTGCACAGGTGACATTGTTCTCTAAAAACTTATCTTAAAAGACATAGACCTAATCATGATTCATTAAATTCAGCCAAGTAAAAAAATTATTACTATTTCGGTTGTGGGATTGAGTCACTGAGCACCTTCACAAATTTGCCTTCTTGCCGTCCGGTCTCGCTCCAAGCTCCGTTGTCTTGCTCTTCCGTCCGGGAGGGAACCTGTCAAAGATTCTCCGATGCTAAAGTCAGTATGTGAACCGTTCGACAGTTCAATAGAACAGTAATAAATGTGCACTAAATGCAACGTACCTACCACTTACCTTTGACTTGTATTTATAGTTTTTGTCATGGGCTTGGGATTAGTGAAAAGTTAATCACGACCCAATTTTAGCCTAATAGCTCTAAATCACTGCTTACCTTGATCATGGTCTTAATGACCTAGATAACCTACCGGCCGGTTATTCTACCACCGTCCGGTTGGACTGATCCTTTGTGGTCTTCCTTGGACATTCCGGTAAGGTACAATTATTATACTAAAAGTGTGATAAAAGAAATTAAATTATAATTTAACTGTTCATCCAATACAACCATCACAACCATGAACTTTGAACTTTGAAATAATGTTAATGTAGTCCATAATGTTAACGAATCTCCACAATCACAATCAATCACTAATAATTGAAAGACTCTAGACCAATAACTGATAATTGAAAGAAGAATATCAAGACCACCTCAGGTATTTTAAAGACCTCGAGTAGAAGATTTCATGAAATGTGTTTTATGATCTTAACATGATTGTTATACATTATCATCCTTTTGCATTCCAAAATCAATTAAATGCAAAATCAGAAATAATTAATTGAAAAGAAAGTCCAGGACAAATGCCTCACCTAGATGTTCATGAACCATACTTAATATAATATATTATTGATTAATTCTTTCAATTTGTTATTTGGAATCTCAATTTAAATGACCATATGTAATTTTAACTAACCTATTAATTCAATCCTATTTGTTAAAGTTAGAGAAAAAGAAATAAAAGTAACTTAAATTCTAATTTCAACATTTTCAATCTCAAAAAGTAAATATAATTAAAGTTAGGTTTAATAGTCTATTTTTTTTTCCTCAGTTTTATTAAATAATGTTAATTTAATTGTTCGTTTTAAAAGTACTTGAAATTGATTTTTACTTATTAAAAAATGCAACATTTTTGTCAGTAGCATAAATTAATTCTGTACTGACACAATAACCCATTTTAGAAATGTGAAGCAGAGTGGTGGTGGCAGGTTGCTTGGTTCCAACAAAGACAGGAACATGAGAAGTTGCTAGTGAAAGAGTAGAGTGTGGCAAAAGAGAAAGAGAAAGTGGAAGATTTGCAGTATTGTAGTGAGAATAGCAGTAGTTGAAAAGGGAGAGGACAGGAGAGAAGAAATATCTTCATGGTTCTTGAAAGCAATTTGACGAGCAAACATTTAAAATTTTATACTTTATATATCCAATATATATATATATATATATATATATATATATATATATGTATATATATTATTTGTGTTAAGGAAAATTGGAAAATATATAAATTTAGGAGTACATATTAGTTTTTGTAACGCTTAATTCTAGCAAAATTAAATATTTTAAGGACACTAGACAATCACCTACTAGCTTAGTTTATATATTGAATAGATTCATTGCAATAAAAAGTAAATAATTGGTTTAATATAACAAAATATTTGCATATTTCACTTTTCGTGTAAAAAAAGAAATTAAAATTTCAATATAAAAAATTGATTCTATTATTTTCTTTTAAACTCTTTTAATGTTTAATAATTAAAATAAATAAATATAAGTTTAATTTATAATAATTTTAATATATGTTTATTAAGTAAAAAATTAATGATAATATAATT